TGTCAGTGGAGGCAGAGGATAATGATTACTGCCCTTCAACACATATTAGGCCAGATAACCTCTTCCTTCTTAGGATCAGCTTATCATCTAACATAAACAAGGTTGATGCAAATAAACAGATATAGATTGAATGTCTGTAGAACAGTAAAACAATAACAAATGATTTGCAACCAGTTTTAAGCAGAGCATTGTATGAAATACAAAGACAAAGAAATCCCGGTTTTACACCTTTGGCATTTTCAATCTGCCAGGGGGCAGCTAGTATCCCAACAACAATACCTGTTTTTAAAATGTGGATTTTATTATTCAGGTGTGATGAAGCCAACAAATCGGGAGACAATCAGCACTGGAAAAGAACACTTGTTTGACTCCATTCCCAAGAGGAATGGACACGCCATACCACACAGGGCCACACAGAGAAGCACCATCCTCCAGGAGGAAGAGAGAGTGAGGGGAAGCTGGGGGAAAGAGCCTTTTCGTGGTTTCCATAGAAAGAGATGGGCTAGGCAGGATAAATAGGCTTAGGGTTGACTACTTTGAATAATTTCAGCAGCTTCTGGAGCATGGGAGTTGCTATTGGTTGTCTGGTACCAGCCCTGGGGAGATTAGGCTACGGGAATGGGGGTCCAGAAGGTAAAGGAGGAGGTTGGCTTTATGGGCTTTGGATTGGTTTGCATATAAAAGGTGTGCTCCCGGATGAGTCCTTTACCATTTTTAGGAATTGGCTAGCCCTGGAAGGACAGTCCCTGCAGGGTCCACAAAACCATGAGATCAGAGAATGTGTACAGGTATCCTCCGGCTTTGGCTAAGTAGAGAAGGCTTGATGGATGAGATGTTGTGCTGTGTTCCTTTATGTGATCATCAGTCAGGTGCAGCCGTGTGAGGAGATGCAGGAGAGGCTTAGGAAAACAAAGTTTATTATACTCACAGGTCCTAGCAACAGGAGACGTGCCACGCCACACAGGGTCACATAGGAAAGCACCAGCTTTGGTCAGGAGGCAGACAAGGGGCATAAGCAAGGTGACAACCTTTGCTACCACTTTTGTTGGGGTTTCCATGGTTAAGGCAAGGCAGGGCTGGGTAAACAGTTTGGGATTTGCTAGTTTGAGTAATTTCAGGGGACTCTAAGCTATAGAGGTGGTCTCTATCTACCTAGTACCTGGCCTTGGGAAGGCAGAGGAATATCGCCTCCTGGAACGTGTGAGCCAGCTAGAGGACGTCTGGTTGTGAATTGATTAGATTGCATATCAAAGGCGTGCAGCTGAGCCCTTTGCTATCTCTAACCAGAAAGGCAGTCTCTCCCCAGCCAGAAAGTTTTAAAAATATCGAAATACCAGTTTAGCAGTTTAGCAGGTTTTTATAAAGTTAAACATATACTCTCCAGTGATCCAGTAATTCTACTCCTAGACATTTACTCAAGGGGAATGAAAAAGTTATGTTCATAAAAAGCCTGTACCTGAATGTTCATAGCAGCTTTCTTCATAATTACCAAAAAGTGAAAGTAAACCAGATGTCCTCTGTTGAATGGATTAAAAGCCTGTGGTATATCCATGCCATGGAATACCACTCAGTAATAAAACAGAACAGACTACTGGTATACATACTAAATGGATAAATCTTAAATAGATTATGCTAAGTGAAAGAAGTCAGAATCAAAAAGCTGTATATATTATTGTGTTCCTGTGACAGTTTAGAAAAGGCAATGCCACAGGAACAGAAAACAGATCACTGCTTGCCCAGGAGAAAGGAGAGCTGACTTCAAAGGGAGAGCCTGGGGGACTCTTTTGGGATGATGAAACTACTCTATATTTGTCTAAAGGGGTTGCAATATGACTTACGCACTTGTCAAAACTGGTAGAACTGTACACCAGTGAAAACAAATTTTACTGTCTTAATTTTTTAGCAATAAAAAATTAAAAACAAAACAAACAAACAAAAATATATCGAAATACCACAATATACAGAAGATATGAAATATAAACAATACAGATGTAGAGATGCCAAGATGAAGCAGGGGAATTCCAAACAGAAAGTATAATGTCAGTAAAGGCCCAAAGAAGGGGAATATTTGGCACATGAATATAAGTACTCTTAGTCCAATTTGGTTAGAGCATTTGGGGTATAAGAACTTTAGAGATAACAATTGTATTCCATAGGAACCTGGGAGTTATTGAAAGAGAATGATTGGATTAGCTCTATTTTTTAGAACATTTCCATTTCTAGCAGTAAGGTGGCTGCAGCTGGGGCCATATTCAGGTAAAAACAGAAGGGAGCGTTAGTTCATACTCAAGTCAAAAGAAAATCACCAATGTGCTGTCAATAAAATCAAGCCTCTCCATCACCTAGCTCTTTAATTTCCTTTACTGATTTATCATTACTGTTTAAGGTTGAATTGGGTTGTTTTTCATATGGATTTTGTCTCTAGATCTTCGTTTGTTGCCACCGTTCTATTAAATTATAAGTGGCCACTGCAGCGACTACCATAGAATTTGGAAGCCGATGCTGTTTTGTAAAACAAAGACACAGAAACACTCCTTTCTATACAGAATCATGATTCGTTTATTTCAGTGACTCCAGAAAAACAGATCTTTTTTTTTTTTTTGCAAAGCCATGTTTAAGTGAAAGGCAAGAAAGTAATGAAGTTACCATATTCACTGATAGTTGGGTAATATGAATTGTTTTAATCAGGAGCTATTAGAAATCAATGTAATTATTCATATTTAACAGTTGTGGTGTGCATAATTTTAACCCCTGCATTGGCTACGGTTAGAGAGCAGACTAGAGATGAGAATTTTGGCATCTTTTCAGTTCTGTTACTGGCTCGAGTGTCTCTAGAGCTGTGAATATTGCTGCAGTGAAAATTAAGTATCCATTGTTTTATAGAATAAATGCATTCTTGATGAATTGCCTGTAAAGAAAATACCAATATATCAAATACTATTATCCTATTAGCTAATGTTACAAAATCAGAAATATATTTTTCTGGCAATAATCTTTTTGCAAAAGAAAAATTCATGCTTATCCTTGGATGTTATCTTGCTGCTTGAAAAAGTAAAGAAGTCATATTTAATAATCCAGCCAATGTTTCAACACACACATTTAAAAGAAAAAGAAATTTCTTGTACTAATATTGCTCCAAGTGATCCTTTAAATGTTGTGCGAAATAATGAAAGCTTGAAGGAAAATAAGAGCTGAAATGAAAAATAAACGTAAAAGAAAAAATTGCTCAGCTATATATATTCTCTCAGTATATGTCCATTAAGTAATTGATAGGTGTTGAATTTTCTGTTATAAATCCAAAATTAATGGAAATTTGGCCTGTGCCCTTGATTTTTTTCATAGCCTGACAAAAAGAAAATGTCGTATAAAGAAACACATTTTACATGATGATGTGCTAAGTGCCCAGTAGAGCAGTGAGACTGTGCTGGGGAAGAAGAGCAGGAGAGACTGACTCTGCCTTTACAGAGGTAACCTCTGAGCAGGGTTTTGACGGGTGAGGAGTAGTTTAGAGTAGGAGAAGAGCACAGACTCTGGAGCTGGACTTCCTGTCATTACTTCCGGAATGATCTTGGGCAAATTTACCTCCTTCATTTTCTCATCTGTAAAACTGGAATGGCATTTGTAGCTACATCAGAGGCCACTATGGAGAGTTAATACGTGTAAAGAACTTAGAACATTATATTGAGCGTGGTAATGACTCAATACATGTGCTGCTGTTTGTTCCACTATTAAGAAGGAGAAAAATGTGGAGGCCGAGGTGGTGGATTGCTTGAGCCCAGGTGTTCAAGATCAGCCTGGGTAACATGGGGAAACTCTGTCTCTGCAGAAAGCAAAACCATAAATAAATAAATAAATGAACAAACAAAAGATTAGCTAGATGTAGTGGCCTGCACCTGTAGTCCTAGCTACTCAGGAGGGTAAGGTGGGAGGATCACCTGATCCTGGCGGCAGAGGTTACAGTGAGCCAAGATTGTACCACTGTACTCCAGCCTGGGTGACAGAGTGAGACTCTGGGCTCAAAAAGAAAAAAAAGAGAGAGAGAGAGGGAGATGGGAGGGAGGGAGGCAGGGAGAGGGAGAGACAGAGAGAAAAACGTTTTTGCAAACAGGTAACAGCCATTTTTTATTCTGTAAAAGTTCAAATTGCTTCCTCTTTAATGGCTTTTACAAATGAGCAATTTAATGCAAGATGTAGAAAAGAAATGGAAATAGGGTATAACCATTCAGAATAGAACCACGGAGGCCCTGATTGATGAGGAGGGGAAGAAGTTACCATGCATCAGAGGACTACCTCATGACACGCTATTGTGACAGGTACTTCAGATTGTCACTGTGTTGTTACCTGATGCACAGGAAGTCCCTTTTCCACACTGGAGAATAGGCAGTGAAACAGTGACAGCTGAAGAATGAAACCGCTTGACTACAACACACCACTGAGGAGGCCCTAAGAGACTGATACACAAATTACTACATTAGCTTAAGCCATGTTAGTAACCCCTGTCTACTCAAAGGGTCTCCTTTCTCTGCAGATTTTTATAAGAAATTTTTATATGAAATCAATAGATAGGATGAAAGCCTCTGAGTGAGTGCTTTGTGACAGGTAACCATTACAATTATGGAAGATGTCATTTGCTGGAAATAAGTTAATTGGCTAGTAACGGGTTACTTATTAAGGTATATAAATCAGGATGAGGAAAGTAGAAAATATAGTGAAGAATTACACAAAATCAGAACAGAAGACAGGGCTTACTAGGTGCCCCCTTTACCCGTGGATTTAAATAATCACTGAAGTAACCAGAACTCGAAAGCCATTGATTTTACAATTAACAAGAGATAAGGGAAGCAAGTCTTTCTGAAATCCTGGCTTGGACAGGCACATCGTGATTATTTTGGTAACCAGTTGCCTGACTTACAAATTTCTCACAGGGGATTCGTTTTGTATATTGAGCTTCTAATTTAATCAGTAATGCCTATGTTTGTTTCCGTTTGTGTATGAATTAGGAACTCAAGGACAAATTAGATTCCAGTCACAAGCGAGAGATAGAAGGCATGGGAGTTCCGGAAATCAAGTATGGAGATTCTGTCTGCTTTGTACAGCATATAGCCAGTGGTCTGTGGGTGACCTACAAAGCACAAGATGCCAAAACTTCCCGCCTGGGACCTCTGAAAAGAAAGGTGAGAGTCAGAAGGTCTGTCTACAGTTGTTTCACCCTGAGTTGGAAGCAACTAGGCAATAGAAGTGATTCTGAGAATCAGGTGGACGTGATTGTGATTTACTTCTCACTATTCAGAAGAGTTATTTTGTGATAGATTGTACACAGTTTCTTCCATACTTCAGCCTAATGTGGATACTTTGACCCCATATGCAATGGGGGAAAAAACCAAATACACAGAAAATCTGTAAGGAGGAGATGGTGTGCTTCATGCACTCTGAAACCCTATCAAAATGGCTTTTGGTGATTTGCTGTCTTGGGATTATCCACATCATTGCTCCCTTCATTTCAGTGGATAATTGAGTTATTGTGCAGTTTTCATGAAAGACTAAATAGATCTCTACAGAGAAGACGCAGATTGCATAATAACAAGCCCACGGGAACCCACTGGCAGAAAGAAGAGATGTTGTGGAATGACAGTATCCACAGATTGTGTCTTGATTTGAGTGGTGCATCACAGCCGGCTCCAGTGAGAAAAGCTAGCCTGGGTACATGCAGCATCTTTTCACCAGAAAGTCAGTTGCCATAACAGTGTTTCTTTTGGTGGGAACCAAGTAATGGATGTCAAGGATGTGATGCTTTTATCCCTGAAAAACCCTTATAAAATATGGGTTTAAATAGTCAACTAGTCCCAGAATAAGGTGCTGGAAGGTACTGTGCTCTGTAGTTGAGGTATAGCAGCCTAAGGTAGTCATGATGAAAAGTTTTCCAGAATGCAGGTTGTGGTAAGAAAGGATGTTGAGAATGAACATAAGGTAATATCTTAATTTTGTGTAAGGCAACACAGACTAGGAAGATATCTAGAAAAGGGGAAATGAAGTGATCAAGAGGGGATAGAAAATACAATAAATAAGAGACCACATAATCTGGCTTGTATGAGACCAACCCTTCCTCTGAAAACAGCTGCACAGGCTGGATACAGTACCTTCAAAAAAAAATGGAAGGTTTCAATAACCAAGCCAGCCAAAACATACGCACAAAATATTGCACACAGAATGTAAGTGCACTGAGGTGAGCCCACCTTCGTCTTTGTTTTCCCCCTCAGCACATTTGCTGATTTGCAGAGCTAGGGAATGGGATCTTGCATTAGCTCAATTGTGCTAAAGAGTCAGATTAGACATAGGTTCAGCCAAGGCTTCTGGAACTCAAGGGTCCAAGAGTCCAGAGTAGAGAGAACTGCAAAAACATGTGCCTAAAATTCTACATGCAGTTTCCTCTAGAATCCTAAGCTGACCGTGGATGGGGTGTGAAGCCAAAATAGTAGACGCAAAACTGCTGTGATCATGAAGAGCAAAGCAGAGGTGTTGACATTATGACAGTACTAGAGATATACAAGTCAGGGTTCAGGGTGTGACAAGTTGGAATGACCCTGGGAAATACAGTAGGCTTTCAGTTGATCTTCAGAAGAGCTACACCCCGGGAATGAGGGCTACACGCTGGAAATAAGAACAAATGGAAAATAAATGCCAAAAACTCATCCTCTACTCTTACCAGCCTATCAGAAGAAAATTCAATCCTCTGTAGAGTACAGTAATA